ATTTAGTGGATGCAATACTATTTTTCTGTGCCTGTTTATAAATGTTCTAGAATTCTAAATTTTGTTTCACTTCCTAAATAGCGTTTAGATTCTATTATATTAGAAGCCCTAAGTATCTTATTAATCAGTTGGGTCAATTATGTAGAATTACATTTTACTCTTAGTCACAACCTTACAATGGAATATACTTAAATCCCATATTTACTTCTAAGTAAACAGAAAAATAATCAGTCTAGCTCTCATTCACACATTTACAGCATATCTGTTTTATAACAATCTGCTAAGATCTCGTGTTACAAAATGTCAACAGCAGTTCTTTGTGTCTCACAAATATTCTCTCAACACCTCCATATTAGCTGCATATTTTGAACAGTTTTAAGCCAACTGCTAATGGCTAACTAATAATGAATTCATAATAATTTGCTACTCATCAGAATAAATTTTTTAAGTATAAAAACTTCTCCAGTATCTAGATGGCCATGCAAACTATTTAACCACAGCTGGCTGAGAAGTACATTTTTGTGGTTTTGCAAACTGATTCCTTTTTGTGAAAGTTTTCAAGAAAACAAGCAAAATGAGATCCCAGACATCTGAATCACCAGACATTTTTTAAAAAAAATTATACATATGTTTAAGTAGTTGACTTTCTAAAGCAAAAATATGAAATGCCAATGACCATTTTGTGCATGCAGTTGGGAGTACTCCATTCCTGTGCCCACCTAGCTGGTCACAACAGGCAAATAAATTATTTCAGAGTCTAGTCCTTCATTTCAGCACAACTGGAAGGCAGTTTTTTAAGCAGAACAGCAATTTAAAAACAAACACATCTTTTCCTTCATCTCTGGACTAGGGACACTGACCTTAGAAATATCTGAAATTCTTCCACTGCCTGTAAACAAAAATGGACTGGAGGCAGTCATGATCATATGTCACTCTTATAAAACATTCTTACTTGATGGCTACTTTTTGGAAAGGTTATTTGTTGTCAATCAAGTGACAAGTTCTGTTTGTAATAATGGTGATTACATCAGACCTGTAGAAGAGAAGATTAGTATGGGGAGTCTAAATATATAAACTAGAAGGTCATGGGACATGTCCAATGTCAATTTAAGTCAATGGCCTCCATGCACTTCAACCAAAATGGGACTGAGCCACAGAGGATTAAGATTTATTTACTTGTTTGTTTGTTTATTTTCCCTATAGCCAGTATCATTGGCTTGAAGCCTAGGATTTTTGAAGGTGACCTGGATCGTTGATTTGTCTGACAAGAAAAAGTGATTGTCCCTATTTTTATTTTTAGGTGGCCATATATAGTCAGTCATGTTCACTCTTTCCAAAGTGGGACTTGCCCTGTGGAGGTAACAGGCAAGAATTTTTCCAAACAGCAGGCTGGGGGCTCTAACCATGCATTTCTTTTGCCATTTGGTAGTGTTTACAAGGAAGCTGGGCAAGAGGCCAATTCTCATTTTAAGCCTCAGGTTGGACACAATGGTCACTCAATGTACTGAGTGGTATAAAGCATAGGTCAGCAGCTTTCCTGTCAGGCAGCAAATAACTAAATTTCACTTGTCTGAAATAGGATTTTAGTTGTCCAGGGCTGCAGGACAAAAGGACTGTTCTCACCCTGACAGCTGGAATGGATGATTTGTGAAATGTATTTTTAGAAGTCTTATTTGCCTACGTGTATGCCTGCATTGTCAAACATTCAGACAGCAAAAGCGAGTCAGGCTACAAGCCATAAGCACTGTGACATACTGTACAAACTGTATAACATGTCTTGATCTAAACCTGCATTTTCACTACTTCTCACTGTCCAACTGCAAATATACAGCCCAAATATTAATGCAACACTAATGCTGCTCTTCCTCTACTTCAACATACTATCACCACAGCATTCACAGTAACTAGAAACCACAGAGGGAAAATCACCGCTGATACAATAGGACATTAGTGATCAAGTCTGTTTTCCAAAATCACCCTGGTTTTCCCCACATTTCCTTTTCCTGAGCATCTCCCTATCTGATTAAAAGAAACAACAACCTCTTGAAAATCATCTTTTTTCTTTAACAAGACAACACGCTGTTGAGAGATTTTATTACTAACATTAATTTTCCTAATCTTGTCCCACACCTTGCTGATAAGCATATCCTTATTAACATTTGCACAGGGCTATTGTGTCAGTGTTGCTTTTTTCCCTGACCTAATGCTTTCTTCCTCCTGTAGCCCATGACATCAGGTTGCACTCATAATACATTTCAAAGCTGGCTTCCTCTCTCTCTAAACAACATTGTTACAGTTTTTGTTTGAACAGTGCACTGGTTTCCTTCCCTTCCTATTCAATGGAGGTCTTGGCAAGCACTTTTCACATATACGCAACATCAATAGGAAAATCTTAAATATAACTGAATATATCTATTCTATGATCATTTACATAAGACTGTACTATATAGTTAATCATACTACCATCTTTCAAAATATTTAGAATTCACAAAATAAAAAAATAGACTATTCAGTATAAATATAGCATTGTAAGCATTCAGGAAAATAATTGTAATGTACAATGTCACAATAGATACCTACACTACATATTTTCTAGTCGTTAAGAGTTTCCTCTTTATTCTGCATTGGTTATTATGCACTTCTGATGATTTGAATGTTTTCATACTCTGTTCATATTAAGAAGTGTGAACTTCCTATTTATTTCTCAGTCTGTCTTAAATTCCTACCATCTGGTTAAGACATATTAGCTTTAAGGCTAGGATCCTTAACAGTCTTCTGTGCCTTTATGCTCTTAATCTATAAAGTTCATCTGTAATAAATTTCAAAAGAAATGTCTGATCTTTAGAGACAGTCATGTGTTAAAAATTGTTTTACAGCACTATAAAAACCCCTATAATAAAGTCTAAATAAATCCAGCGAGTCAAAATAAAAAATATGCTTATTTTATGTAACCCTACTGTTAGCACTGACAAAATCAAATTCTGATTCTGCACAGATCCACCGAATACATTTAAATCACTAGGATAACGAAATATGGAGCAGACTTGGACACCTCCTGATAATGTGAAAGAACATGTTCATGCATTGTATTGAACTGTAAGACTAGGTCTGTAGAACACATCTCTTCCTGCAAGTATAGTATGCTTTAGTCAGCGTAGCTTATGGAGTTTGGGGATCTACTGATAAAACTGGATGTTGGTAAAACACATACCACTATTAGAAAAAGTTCTGGTGGATGGCCATCAGCTAGTGCAATATAATTTACCAGCTATTCATCAGGGCAGGAGACTGTTGTGATCCTGTAAGCAGCACCCCACACTCTTCATATGACCAAGAACCTTAGGGTACGTAGCTTAGAGAGCAGAAGGGTTTCTGGAGAGCAGAACAGTTTGCAGGTGGGAAATGTCAATAGCTCTCCAGGGATTCTAGTTTTCTTTTTGGACAGGCCTGGACTGGACATGCAACAAGACTCAAGTGCGAGTGGCAATGTTTGCCTTAGTAACTGCTGAAGGTCTGCTCCTTCTTACAACAGACCCCAGCACTGCCCTGCGCTGGCTATGTGACACAACCTCAGCACAAGAGCAACACTTGTGCTCAAGGAGAGCTGCTTGCAGCTAAAAAGCTCTGGACTGGCCACCCTGCTTCCCAAGAATAGGAAATATAAGTACCCCTAAAAATACATTTCTATTTGTATGTTAATATCTCTAACTCCTTAAAAAAAAAAAAAAAAAAACCAACAAAACAAAACCAAACAACCCAAAAACAAAAACCAGAAGGCATTTTGTGGGCTTTTTTTGGGTTACTTTTAAGATGTAGCCTCAGTATCTGGCCTGGAAGTATGGCAGGAAAATCCATCCCAGTATTTTCTTTTCTGTTTCCCTTCCTCTTCAGCTCCTTCTGACTTCCTTTACATTCAGTTTTTCCACTTCATACCTCTACTTCCTTCCAATCAAAAACTTGTTGAAACCTCATCAGAGCCTTTATCTTTCTTTATCTTTTTTTTTTTTTTTTTTTTAAATCAGTGTTTCATCTACCATTTAGTTAAAAGCAGGGGAAAAAAAAAAAAAAAAAAAAAGAAAACAGGTAGCTTCTCCAGCCCTTTATTGCACTTCTCCAGTACAAAGAATACTCTGACACCCCTCTCTCTTGAAGGAGCCAACAATATGACAGCCTTCTGTTCCCTTGTGTGCTTTCCAAGTATTTCCCAGGTATCTCTTAATTTGAGGACTAAATTTACTAGGAAGAGACATGCTTAGTAGACATGCAAGTATCAGAAAAGTTCGAAGGGAACACGGTGATAAGAAGACCAGTCTGCCAGCAACCATCTGTTATGGAGAAGGAAACAAAGCCACAGATTGCTCCTAGGCAGCTCCCCACAGACACTACTTGAGGACTATTTCTAGATTGTGGCTAGAAGGTGTCCAATAAATTGACAATTTCACTTCTTCCCACAGAGTTTTCTGATTAGCAGCACTGAAACTGGTGGAAATGACTGTTATTTTCACTTTATTAGTATCATATCCAAGTGTGTGGGTTTGGGTTTTTTTTGGGGGGGAATTAGAGCCAGCTGATTGGATACTTAGTCCTGTCGACAAAATTTTTGCTTACATACATTCCAACAATTTTAAATTACTCTCCTACTATTACACATTATTTTCTAACTTCTATCAGACGTTTCTGTACGTTATTAAACGCTTGTTCCATTGAAAATGTAAGATTCTAAATAAGCCTTGGAAACAAAAAATAATCATTCTACTAAGAAAGACAGGATTAAGAGAAGGCTATTTCTGTGGAAATGGGATTTGAAAATACATCATATCGCACAGCAAACTTTTCTGTATAAAAACTGCATTAAGCCTCAGAAATAGTATCAAACCATTTTAAACTCACACAGCAAAGCCATTGCAGGCCAGGCCTGTTTCTGAACAACTCCTAAAGCTGGTAGCACTATGACAATTATGCCCAAGGGATCGATTTGAGATAATTTTTGTGAATTTTACCTAATTCCCAAATAAATCCATTTAATAGCAGTGTCGAATTCCGCCGTTTTGCCAGCTGGCAATTTTGAATGGAAGAGGAATACGGTACTTTGCAGGTGCCTCCGGCCATCTCCATCACGAATTGCTCTGCTGAGGGAGGACACTGCACCTGGACACAAAACAGCAGAGTGTTGTGAATAACCTCATTATTTTAAGCACATATAAAACACTGCCTGATCATTCCCCACCCGCTTTCCTTTTCCTCTGCCTGGCCGTCCTTCCCTCTCGCTCCCCTGCAGCCCTCGCCGCCCGGGCCCGTCCCGGGTGGTCCCTGTTACCCCCTCACCGGGACAGCCCCTCTCCCCGCCTCGCCCCCCTTCACCCCGCCGTGCCCCGGCGGCACCCCCGCCCCTGGGGACCCCCGGTGCCCGCCCGCTTCTCCGCCTTCCCTTCCCCACCGCCCCCTGCCCTCCCCTCACCCCTCAGCCGCCGGCCGCCCGCCCTCTCCCGCCTTCCCCTTCCCGCTGTCACTCGCGGCTCCGCCCGCCCCCTCGCCCGGCCCCTCCCCGGCGCCCGGCGGAGGAGCCGCCGTTTCCGGAGTACACAGAGCGGGGCTGGCCGAGCGGCGGGGGCTGTGGCGGGCAGGTGAGTGAGCGCGGCCGCCGAGCCCCTGCCCCCGCCGGCCGGCCTTCCCCCGGCCCCGCGGCGAGGGCTGTCCCCGGCCGCCGCCCGCGGGCGGCCGCCCCGCGGCGTGGCCGGCGGGGCCCTGGCGGTGCGAGGCACCGGGCTGGTATGGACGGCGTTACCGCCTCTCCTCCCTCCGAGGGGGACGGGGCGCGGAGGAGGGCAGCCGTGGCCGCTCGGCAGAGCCCCCAGGGCCGCGGCGGGGGGAGCAGACAGGGGAAGGGGCTGCGGCTGGGAGGAGCCGCGGCCGGGGGGAGGGCGGCGGCGGTGCCCCGGGGCGCGGCCCGGGGGTTGTCGCCGCGCTCCCTCGGCGGGGCCGGGCCGGCCCCGTGACGGCGAGGGCAGCCTCGGCACGGCGCGGCCGCGCAGCCCCAGGGCGGTGGCGAAGCTGCGGCCGCCCACTGCTCCCCCCCCCCCCCCCCCCCCCTCCGCTTCCCGCCGCCGTGACCCGTGTGCGGGCAGCCCGGGGAGCGCGGCGGGGAGCTGGGACTGCGCCTGCGGGAATTCCTGCGCACCTTCCTGCTAAATAGTGACCCGCGGCCGCCCGGGGCGCCGGCCCGCCCCGGCCCGCCGTCGGAGACCCCGCCGCGGGGGCCTCGCCTCGGGGCGGCGCGGCGCTGCCCTGGGCCTCCCGGGCGGTGCCGGCGGGACTTGCCCCTCGGCGGGGGTGTCAGGCCGGCCCCCCCCGAGCACACCTCGTCGCGGTGCCTGCCGCGGGTTTTCTTCGCGCCCCCCGACCCCTGGGCCTGCGAGCAGGAGTGTCTCCGTCTGGGCGGCCGCTGCAGTGGGCTGTGCTTGTACGGGTTTTTCACCTGATGCTAACTGAAAGTGCTGGTTGTTTAGTACATTGTATGCGTATGGTAACTGCAAGCAGAAGAGGATGACTAATTTTGGGCTGTAGCTTAAAACTTTACTATACGCCTTTGCCTCTCTCTGCTCGAGGGGTTTTATTATTTGTGTGAAGAGGGAGAGGTGCAGGTATTTGTCAGGTGGGTATTGGCTTAGAAATTTGAAAGAAGTTGAAAGATCTTATCTGTGTGTTTTACATGAGATTATAACCCTTGTTACAGGTATAAATCGGCCATTATTGTTATAGTTGGTTTTATAGAGGAACAGATGTCTGGGTGTCTTGAAGAGTGGCATATGCCAGTTGTGTGTAGCGGCAATAAACTGCTTAGTTTTTCAGAGTCAGTCTGTCGCTCTGGAAGGACGTGCAGCTGGCAAAAGGTTCCCAAAATGGCCCTGCATCTTGTAACTGCTGGTGTGGCGGTTGGATAACCTTGAATCTAGAGGTTGGGGAAATGGTTGCTGTGGATTTGAAGGTTACTGTTGCTTGATGTTCTTGTTTTCTCAGTCGAGTGCTGTCTTGCAAAGGGGAGGTGTTGTGCTTGAGGAAATGTTGTTTTCTGTGGGCAACGGGCGGCTGAAGCTCCTGCGGTACGCTCCCCTTCCCTCACCTCTCTGAGGTATGTGGTATGTGTCGTGTAGCTCCTAGCCACCTGAAGCTTTTGGTATGCACCTCATGGGGTCAGGAGTTTTGGCTGATGTTGGTATGTGCACCGGTGCTATTTGTATATCATGGATATCAGTGTGATTTTGCAGTTGGCTGGAGTCTTCTATTAGGCAGCATTTTTACAGAAGATAAGATGGACCCTTCTTCTGTAAAGAATTGCTATCTTTCTAAGTTCAAGACTTGCCCAAGGTTTTATTTTCTTTCTTTTATTTCTGTTTGGTACTTTCCCTCCTAGAAGGAAGGACATTTGAAGTGTTTAGTTTGTGGTCGTGTAAGTGTGTTTCAGGTCAACATACACGTTTCTGGTGCTTTGTGGAAGCTTTTAGGGTGTGAGTAACCAGACTGGGAGCAGCATGGAGCCACTGGTTGCTATGCATCTTGTGGTACTGCTCCTTAGGTCAGCGTAAGGCATAAATCCTTCTGTTGGCATTTCACATTCTGAATCAGGAGTCACTCAGGGGTGTTAGGAAACTGGAAATAATATATACAGGGAATATTTTTCTAGGCAAAAGTCTCTTCTGAGACTCCAAAATTTGATTAACAGGTAAATAATCCTTCATCAAAGTAATATGAAAATATCTGATACAAATGTTTAAGAGAAGTCTAGGTTTCTTCCACTTCTTAGGCATCAACTTCTATTTAATCACTTGAATAATTTTCCACTGGAATCTTATTTTTCCATGCTTTCATGCTTTTTTTTTTTTTTCCCCCATGCTGTTTGAGCTGAGAGCTTTTTTCCCCACTTCTTCACACTATTTGTTACTTTTCAACACATTTTCTTCCCTAGCGTACAAATGGCAGCCAGTTTTTCTTTGCAGCAAAACAACTGTATTTTTCCTGTCCTATAAGGAGTAAGTAAGCTTCCCTTTATACCCTGAACTGACTGTAGCTTTAAGTGCTGTCACATTTCTCTTGTTACTCAAAAAAGGATAGTGTCAAGAGAAATCAGGCTACTGCTTTTGTTGATATAGTGGTACTGTAATAGGGAAAGACTTGATCTTGGTGATATGAATGCTGGTACGCCAGAAATCCTGCTAATGATAGTGATTAATGGGTGCTGCTCAAAATAGCTATCACTGCTGATATGACTAATTGTGCCGTCTGAAAAGAGCTCCTTTATTCCTAGTAATCTCAAGGTGTTTCTACAGTTTTAGAGAAGTGCTCGATTTGTGCAGACAGGTAAATGCACAGTGAAATGCAGAACTTGCAGTGGAGTATGGCAGTTCTTTAAGAGCTTGCTGCTGCGCTGCAAAACCACTTGGGGTTGAAAATGAAGAATATCTTCTTGTGGTTACTGTAGGTAGATAGAATATTATTAATGGAATTGGATGTTAGCCAGAGCAACACCCTACATGTTGCAAACAATGCCAGGGTATTGTTAGTAGCTATAGAAGGGGTTTTATATCATACATGAAAGATGACATTTCCATCAGCATGGGTAACCTCATCACAAAACATTGTGCTGGGGCTGGCTTAGGGGGCAGCTGGCTCTTTACAGCTTGACAAAATCTACATTCTAATCGCACCAGTCCTCCTAGAGCTTGGTGATGCATTTGGATTAGTGTTTCTTAAGCTTCAGTGGCCTTTGGGTAACAACAGTTTATTAGTAACATGCTGCAGGCAATGTTGTGCTCTCCAGGCAATACCATACTCCAGGTTCTGTTTAGATTTTCTATGTTTCGTGGCTGGAAGCAATTCTGGAAGCTTATATGGGGACTGTGGATCTAAAACTTAAAGGTGCTGTTTCTTGATATCTAAAATCTGAAGTTCTGCCAGGAAGGATGAAAGAATATTTCGAAATATAAGTAGAATTTCTTAAAGATAGGTTCCAAAATCACTGAGGAAAAGTTAGTGGTTGTGTTTTGTTGTGCCTCTGCCCTTGTGTGGGTTTATTTTCTTCTGCTGTTCGTGTACCTCATGATAATTTTGTGGAAGCAGGGATTTTGATGTTCATCCCTTCTGCCCTCAAAGAAACCGTTAAGGTGTGTGTGTGTGGAATAGAAGGCATTCATTTCACAAATACTGTTTTGCAGTTTAATTGTTGATGTGGTCTGATAGAATCCCAGTCTTCTAGTGTTCCGTGAATAAACCATTTTGGTCCAGTCCTTGAATTGTGCTGAAAAGGTAATTTTAAAAAAAAAATTTTTTTTCTATGAAACTTCAGAAAGATGATGTTGGTGTTAATGAGGTGTGTTTCACTTTGAAGTGCTCTAATGTGACAAGACCAACTATTTTGAGAACTCTGGTCTTGAAATATCAACCTTGTCTTACTCTGCTGTAATTAACGAAGATCAGGATGTTGATTACTTAAGATAAATTGAGGGGGATTGATTTGTGTGTTTCTGTTAAGGTCATAAACTTTGCACAAGGCAAACAGACTTCTGGGGACCCTGGTTGGAACAGCCCTGGAGTACAAGAGGGAGAAGGGTGTGTGTCCGGGAAACCATAGAATAGAGGGTCTAGAAATGCTTGATAAACTTTGAAGAACAAACTAAAAGGTCTGAACAGGGGAATGCAAAGTACTTCAGGTGTGGCTGGGGGAATCCTGAGATGTCTGTGAGTGAAGATCAGTATGGGTGTATCTGAGGCTCTGTGAGGCTTTCAGGCATGTTCAATAGCCGTTATAGAAAGTCACACATTTTTCTAGCTGCGATACTGCATACCATTAGTGGTACATTGGCTTCAGTCTCACGGTAACATATGGCAGCTTATCAGGGCAAGCACCTATTACAACTTTTTATTAAAACAATTAAAGTTTGAAGTGGGATATTCTAGGGCTTTGCTTAGAACAACTATTTTCACGAAGGAAATAAATACTGTCCCTTCTAAGGAGAGCCCTCATAAAAGAGCAGCGTAGCACTAGTAGATAGAATTTTTGTAGTATTAGCTAAAAAGCAAACCAAAAACTTTAACAAGTTTTTGCTGTACAGTACCTGTCTGTGTTTTTTAAAATGAATTTTTTACTTGTGTGTTTTTACTCTTAGGGTCACATCAGAGAAAATAATTCCTTAGGAAACATCTTTACACTACCTCCCTAAATTGTGACCAATTCCTGCTTATGTTTTTAGTTAAATTTTTTCCTTGAAATGACTGATGCATATTTTCTGTTTTAGGCTAGCTAGATTTTCATTGTCTTGCAACACAGTTGTATTCCTTCTTTGTGGTCTTTTGTTTCTTGCTTTTCTAACAGTTTTCTGCTTTTTCAAGTGGTTATGGTTTTTTGGTCAATGTGACTCTTGTTTTATCTAGTCATGTTTCAGTGGGGTAGTTGTCAGATGCTAATGTTTTCTGGCAAGCATTTCTGTATAATAGCATTGCAAAAGACAAATTATTTGGAAAATGTCAACAGGAAGATCCCTCCACCACCTTGTCAGCCACCCCTTCTCAGGTTTAGATACTCTATTTTTGTTCTTTCCTGACACTGTGTGTTGGTTAGAAAGTTATAAGAGAACATGCCAACTGGTTGTTTAATAACAGTATTTGAGGTGTGATTCTTGTTTAGTTGTGCACTCGAAGTTGACATTTAAATGGTACTGTCTAATTACAGAAAATTCCTCACAGACTCTGCGCAGTATACTCTGCAATCTGGGAACAGAACAAAACTCCACAATTTAAACAGTTTCTGAATGTAATAGAAAGTTTGTTTCCCTTGGTAGAAATAATAATATTTACCTTTGATTCTTTAATGCTTTATTCTAACATGCTGTGTTTTGGGAACTTTAAAGCAGTGTATTGAATGTGTTGTAGAGAAGAGGGTAGAAGAGTAGGATGAAAAGACTGTGATGGACCTTTTTTCCACTTCACAGGCATCCCTAGTGCAGTTCATTCGTGTGAGAGTCAAGTAGCAATGAAATATGTCTAATTCTGTCAGTAACTGAGTGTTTTTAGTTTCCCAAGTAGATTACTTCACTGTGATAACTTGGTATGTTTGTGAGTTCTTGGATGGTACTGGGAATTCCTCTGGATTTACTGGGGTAAAATTAGATCCTTTGAAGCATGTCCCCGTGGTCTGTCTGTTACTAGGATATTCAGAGAAATGTTCCTAGGTATTTTTTTGGTTTAAGAAAGTTGAACTTTCTGCTCTTCCGTACAGATTACAGAATTTGGCTGTTTGTGCCTTAGAAGAAGAGTTTGAGTCCAAGCACAAGAGCTTCCCCAGAGAAAGATAAAGCACCTGAATGTCTACAGCTCACATTCCAGAAAAATCTGGAGATCTTACAAGTGTTGCTTCTTAAGACTCTAAGTACAAGGCAGTATTTTAAAAACTTTCTTAAAAATACCTGAAGCTGGCAATCTCATCCTGAAGAAGCTAGACATTCTTTTTATGTGGCCCAGCATATAACAGAAATGCTGAAAGCCAGTGAAAGCTGTAGTGACTAGAAATGACAGTCACAGAAACACTCTTGTTGAAAGGCTTTTCTTGTGTCTGTATCCTCACAATTTGAGTAAAAGACCAAGTATCACAGGGGAAAGATCACTTTGGGTAAAGGTAATTCTATTCCAGACACCAGAAGAGTTGAGAGACGTAATCTTTCTCTGTTGAGTTTTTAAAAAATTTTCTCAGAATGCTATTTGCAAGTGTTACACCAGATGGTATTATGTAGATGGGGGAAGAGACTACATAGAAATTTCATTCTTCCACATCTATATGTTCTCCTGCATTCATTAGAAGGGTAACCTCAGTGTAGAATGTGTTCAGGATCTCCAGATGCTCGGAAGAAACCATGATTGTCAAATGAAGGTACAAATGAATGCAGGTTTTCACAATGTGTTAAAGGCACCTGTGTTTAGTAAAAGATGGAAAGATTGGAAAGATCCCAAGGATAGATTTTTTTTTTTTTTTTTTGGTGGAAGTAAGAATAGCAATGCTGTCTGCTGCTGAGTGCGCTGCAGTTCATTGTCCAAGCAGGAACTGAAGGCCACGTGATAGAGAATAGTGTTAACTAAAACTGTACAAATATGTTCTTACAAAATCCAACTTCATCAGTGCATGTTTCATAGCTCCAGAAAAAACTTTATTTAGTCTCTTGCCAAAGACATAGTTATTTGTGTTTTTTTTTTTTTGTTGAGCAACACAATTTTCAGATATCTAAATAATAATTTAATGAGATGCACCCTTTTTCCTACATGAGATGAATATTTACAGGCAGATGATAAAATAAAGAACTTTAATACAGGGCTGGAAAATAGGTCTACTGCTAAATATGCATGTATCATTTAAAAATGTGAAAAGCTTTCATTTATTAACTAAAAAGTAACATTGAATGAAAAAAATGTGTAAGATTTGGTAGTGATCGGAATTTTGTTTTACTGAGTTCAGTTCTGAGTAGTGCAAATGAAGTGATCAGGACTTAGAGGTTGCTGGTGTTGTTGGCAGGAAAGCAGAGGTCTGCGTGAATACTTGTACATTCTTCACCTACAGAGAGCAAACTGGGTGTGCTTTACTAACTCATAGTGAAGTACAAATAAACTGTCTTTCTACTAGTGTAGATACACAAGTTATGACAGAAGCAAGGTTACAGTTTTGGTAGGATTATAACTTGCACTTCTGTTTTAGATATTTTTGAAGGGAAGTTGCTAAAGTTTATGTATGGAAGAAACAGGGTAAATTAATTAAAAACTAGTTTTCCTAAATTAATGCAAGTGTAAGTGGACTTCTAATTCTGGGGCTTATTTTTCTTAAGAGGCTTCCATGCTGATGAAAATTGTATGGGGTGCTGAAAGGAAATGTCAATTATTAGAACAAAACCCTGAAAAAAGGAGCACGTATACTGTTACTGGAAATATGCTTGGTTCTGTCTTAAAATGTTGGAAGAGTCCTTACTCAAAGAGCTTCCAGTCTGTCTGTCTTGTGTTGCTTTCAGGAAGAGAATGAAAACATTTTCTCTCAGGCAATCCTATTAGATCTCATAATAAACTTCTTTGTCTAAACTCTGCAATAATTTCCAGGGCAATAGATTGTAATGTTGAATTCAGCACTTTGACCTCATTTTGTGTCAAAAGAGGAGTAAGTATTGTAAAGTTTTAGGCAAGTTATTACGAAATAACTTTGGTAATTAGCAAACTTTATATAGAATTTGGCCATGAATTTAACATGGGTTCGTTCATGAGCAAAGGTATTCTGTAGATCCAAGTTACCAATCCTAATTGTCTTTTATATAATACTTGTTCTCAAAACTGAAATAGTAATTCATGGTCATGGGACAGCATATGGTTAGTTTGGCAGCCTTTGGTCAAGTGCATTTGCTGCTTTATCCATGTGCAAAAGTGGTACATCTGACCGGTGCTATTTTGAAATTAATCCGTTGCTTGGCTTTGTGGTTAGAAAAGATCGTGGTCTGGTTAAGTGAAATCTATTGCTCTGCAGATGTTGCTGGACATGAAATCTGTTGAAAACCACTAATGATACATTTTTTGCTTTTATATAGGAATGTTACATTTTTGTGGTCATAGATTGGTATGATAGAGTAAATCTGTAGTTGACATACAAGATTTAGCGAAATGTTTTTTGGGAAAAGTGCATTTTCTGCCTTTGAAGACACAGAAGGAAAAGAGTTTTTTTTTTCTTTTTTCCATTTTAATTTCTGGAACAGTTGGGTTTTAGGAGGTTTGATTTAGGATTGTCTGGTACAGTCAGACAAATGCATAACAGACCATTATTTGCCTCTTAATGATATTTTCCCTAAAGATGTGTTAAGTTTCTAGCTGGTCTCTCTGTGGCTTATCCTTCCATATCATGATGACCATGAGGGCTGCAGAGGTCCCTTTCAAATCAAACAAATGATGCTGGCTTTCAAGCATCAGGAAGTGTTTTTGTCACGGAATCTCTAACACTATTTACGTTGTTGATGGTCAGATGTCTAGAGTTACTACTCCAAAACCTTTTGTGGTGTCTTTGATTCTGGATGCTTTTCTGAAGAGTATGATTTAATCAGACGTGTCCTTGGATGGAATACTGGGTGTTGGAATTGCTGTGGTTTACAGATACCGGAGTTCATGATTGAATAGCTCCTCTGGCTTTAAAGATACAATATATTGTTTAATTTGTTCTTAAACAGCTGCACAGAGTTTGTTGACTGCACAGTATATTGACATGTGGGGTTTTTGTGACAATTTAGTGTGTTTTTAAAATAAGCTTCTCAAGTCAGTTTCTGAGGACATACCTGTAGATTAGCATGTCGCTGTTGGTCTCTTGAGAGTTGTTTGTCCTTACCTCCTTATTCGTTGTTTTGTGTTCTAATGTGTGCTTTGCACTTCGGGGGATTATTAGATGGAAAATGTCTGGACTGCCTTCTCTTGTGTTTCAACACCTTTTGCTATGCGTTTGTTGCACTTGAAAGGCCTTTGTGGCTCTCAACTTTGTGCATTGGGATAGATGGAGAAGACTACTGCTACTATGACTGATACAATTTGACTTGGTGTTAAGTTGTGGTTGGTTGGTTTGTTCTTTTTCCTGAGACATTCACATCTTCTTGAGTCTTTTCAGCTTCACAGGGCAGCCAGTAGATGCTTTTCTCTGTCTGATACAGTATGTTACCGATATTTTAAGTTGCATCCTGAAACAAGGAGAAAATTGTTTTTCCGTCAGTGACTTCCTTCTAAAAAGTTCTATCTGGATTTTATTCTGAAATTGTTTTAGCACAGATGAGACAGTTTCTTTTCAAAAATTCTCGTGGTTTCAGGAAAATAGTATGTTGTGTCTTCCTTGCATATGCTATTTGATATATTCTCTACTGGTGTGTGAGTTGCTCATCTCTGCAGTGTTGGTTGTTTTTCACTGCACATTAAATCACATATCAAGAAAAACAAGGGTAAGTATAGTTTATGAAATTTTCTTCACTACATAATTACGCTCTTTTTCATTTTAACTTAAGGTTTGGTAAGCGATACAGTCCTCATAATTACAAGCATAGATAGGAAGGTATGCTGTATTTTGATCTAGTTGCTCAGTGTGTTGAGGAATAAATTAGAATATGAATGCAGGGCATTTTGCATGCTATGTCTATGCTAAATATTTTTCTCTAAAATGAATACTAATGCGAGCAAAGTTCAAGTGGTGTAATTTGGAACTGTAGACTTGGAGCAAATACTATGTGGCTAGATATGTGTGAATATTGATTGTAGTGCTTGGTAGCATGCAAAAAATTTGATCGCGCCTCAAAGCAGTGTTGACTTAGTAGACTTCTTATCCCTTATTTACCTTTCTCTAAAGGTTTGTGTTGGGGGAGGTGGGTGTGTTTCTGCTTCTTTTACATCACATCATTGACTTAAGACCTATAGATCATTGGCTTTCACTTACTTTACACTGTCACAGGCAAATACTATCTTGTCCAAAAGACAGTGTTGTGAGGAAAGTATTCCATCTGAAACAGTCCAAATCTGGTGATTGATTAATATAACATTGAGATAGTTTTTATTGGTAGTGAATGAGTATTACTTCTGACCAATAAAAATCCACTGTTTTGTCTAAAATACAGACAAAGAAATGTCTATGTAAGTGGAGTCTGTGTTTCAACTTCAGAGGCCAAGAAATGCCAGCGTAATCACCTGAAATACATGAAAAGCTGTCCATGGAAGAATTTTCTATTCCAGACAGAGAATAATACGTTAGCTGTAGAAGATAAGACTTCATTTTACAAGTGGCTACACTATTTAAAATTATTTGCTGATAGGAATACAGCAACTCAAAAAAAGCAGCAGCATGCCTTACTAATAGCATTTGAGCCCTATAATATGGTTCAATTTTGAATATTAGCATATTGATATGATGTAAATAAAACCATCAGTTTCATTGCCAAGCCCACAATTATCTAATAATGTTATGCTGCTGAATTCACTCGCTCTCCTTTTCTCTTCTTCCTGTGATTATTTTTTTCCCTACCTTTACTGCTTTTTTCCCATTTGACACTTTAATTCACATTCAAAACTCTCCTCTTTGTATGTGTTACACAGTGAGGATTGGAATGTTAGCTGAAAGATTGGGAGAAGAATCTGCCGCGCTGAAAATGCGAAAGATTTCCTGTTGTTCTAAACTCAGTTTGGTATGAGTGCTAGTGTCTGCGCAGCTGAAGCACTTCTTAAGCTCACCTGCTGCACAGCAATACATGAGTGGTAGTTGAGGGTAAGAATCCCTTCATATACCAAATAATACTCTGTGGTTAGTCCTAGTTCTGACTGTAGTACACATTGTTCCTAATAAAATAATAAATGCAAAAAGTGGCATGATCTGCTCCAGCTGCATAGTGTTACTGGACTCTGGAGGAAGGTCATTACTTGTTTCTAGAATGGAAATTTTGAGAAAATGACTAATTGAAATTCAAATCCCCTAAGAACATACATCATGTAATATGCACATACCAGGTATTGTTAGGTGTATGCAGGAAATATATGTTTTGTGTTGTGGATAAAAACAAACTACCTTGGTGTGTAGTAAGGATACATCTGTAATACTGCGGGTTTTAAGCTTGCTGGAGTGAATCTGAAAGTAAGAAAAAAAATTGAAAATAGGACCAATGTTGTTGAATTGAAAGCAAGAAAGTAACACACTTTTGGTGTTCAAAAATTGCAGGGAACTGCAGACTTGGTATTATAATAGCTTCTTTGAAAAGAAGATGCAAAAAATAAATGTAGCATGCCAGTGTTTATTCACTGTAGTAATCCCTGACAGATTTCTACAGATATATATATTGTTGGCTTATGCAGAATATAGAGGTTATAATTGCCTAACAGAATAACTCTAGAAATAGAGCAAGATCCTTACAGAGCTTTGGGAGGCAAGAATATTAGTAGCAATAGGAACACAGTTGTATAGTTTTTTTCCTATATCATGCTTTGGAGAACAGGAATGGATTGAAATCCTTCCTGTAAAAGCATGTTAGCTGTTTTGTTTGGTTGCACAGTAGTGATTTGCACTTTCTGCTGCCATCAGTAATTCTGGAGCAGAGTACACACAAGTTGAGGTTTTTGTCAGAGCTTGCCTAACGGGGAAAAAATATGGAAGAAGATGTATTATCTGTAAATAGAGAACATAGTGAAGAATGGTAGGGGACGTTTGAGCCTTAGATCTTAGGGTCTAGCAGCAGGGCTCTTTACAAACAGTTAATTTTTCTGTGGGGTCTATTACTGTGCTGTTCATCTTGAAGATATAAGATGAACTTGTTGCCTGAGCAATAGTTTTGCGTACCTCCTCCTGAGATGTGTGCAAGGCGTTGTCTCCATAATAGTGATTACGGAGTAGTAAAGGGCGTTGAGTTCCGTCCGAAATCAGTCTTGCTGAGCCGTAGCCACTGTGTGACAGTGCCACTGGGGTTGGAAGAACTTAAAAGTAGTGAATATGTGGGAATGCCTTAGACAAGATCTGTGTTCAGACAGAAGATCTGTGGTTCTTGAGAAGCTGAGTGTTAGCTACAGCAGTGTCTGGCTTCTCGCAGGAAGGTGGGGTTCACAGCAGGCTGCAGGCTGCCCTGGCAGGGAGGCTGCATGGGGGCTCAATCAGATCCGTTGTGGAAGTTTGTGGTAGGCAGCAGAGAGTCAGAAGGCACATGTGGTCCATTTTGGTCACTCACTTTATCTTAAATGTGTTTACTAGATCATGTTAATATAATTAATATTTAAAACTGAATTGTAAGATTAATTTATTAACTGTATTGCTAAATACCAAAGCAATTAATCAGCCATTATGATGATCAGCATTCATTTCTTTAAGCTCCAGTACTGACATCAGTAGTAACAGTATTGCTGTTAGTACTACGTTGACTTCACCTGATGATGCTGGTGGGCTCTAAGTGGAAGGTGTTATTTTTCAGAAATCCTTCTCAGATTTCCTTTCAGAAGTTTAAGAAAAATCCCTACATTTTCAGTGAGTTTAAATGCTTTATCAGATGCTTGTTGAGTAATTTGAATGTTTCATGTAAAGTGTTGTATATTTAAAGGGTTGTTTTGACTTAGTAGAATGTTTACTGCATGCTTTATCCAGAATTAGGACACAAATTATCATGCATCTCCAGCCTGCATCAGTGATTGTACTCCAGGAGCCCTTTCCCAGTGAAATAAGGATTTTAAAATGGTGGAAAGTATAGGTTTACTTTGGTACATACTTGGTTTTCATTCTTTATGACCAACGAAGAATATTCTTACGTGACTAAAATCACCTATACTGTGTTCCCACAGGTCCATGAAAGATGGGAGTGGAAACTGTTTTGAAAAAGACCTTCTCAGTATTGACCTCACTGAGCACTTGAGAACTGCTTCTGTAAATTTCATACTAAAAGCAGAGACTGTGGGGAGAACACTTAAAAGATTATATTTACATTGACAAGCAATATTACATTCTTTAATTATGTATTTTATGGAGACCACAGTAATAAAATGCTTAATGAATATAATATTTGGAAATAATTGGGGTTTTGGACAGTAGTGGTGTGATAATCTTTTTCCATTGGAATAACAGTATCCTTTTGAAAACGTAATTGCGAATATTTTCCTATTGCTATGATAAATTTTTGTGGCTGTCATTCATTGACAGGAGAATCTCAGTGAGGTTTTTTGAGATGTTTTTAGTCCTCATTTTGGGGTGGGGTGGAGAAGCTTTCAAATGTTGACCCTTAAGACTCAATGAAGTTACCATGCAAAATATGTTTTTATAACATCGGGGTTTTTTTCTGAGGGAAAGGCAGTCCTGAATTGCAATTAGAATGTATGCTGATAATGTAATTTTTCTTTCCTTACTTAAAAAAAAAAAGTATTGCTACTTCCTTGGTAGCCACCTAAGAATGAATCTCATGTCAGGCTACTTGTGATTGCACCGTTCCTGTTACTGTGCGGACTTTTGCTTCATAGTATAAATTGATCAGATAAGTATGTTGATGAGATGACTCTTGACTTCACAATTTCTATATTTACTATTTTCCAGTCCATTTCAAAATCCAGCTCTGCTACCTTAAAAAGTTCTCACACTTGGTTTTCTCTAGTCTAATTTATGTTCACTTACCTGTTTTTATTCTTAATTGCTAGAGGCTGTCCTCCCACTTGCACTATTCAATTTCTGTGGAACTACCAATAAATTAAAATGGTCCTCTGCTGAGATTAGGGTGGAAGCTGAAGGAGTGGGAGAGAGAAAGCAGAACAAACTTACGGTATTTAATAGAATTGCCTGTGCAGACCAATGTGAAACAAACCGTATTTATTGTAAAACATGATAAGAGATACATAAATTTAACAAAATATGTCACAACACTTAATATCTTAGTTAAGGATTATTCCTTCTTTTCCTGATTTTGTGTGGTCAAATTGTCCCATAACTCCTTTTGTCTAAAATACAAATCAGAAAGTAATTTTGTGAAATACTTGGGGCAATTTCTTTGCTATTAGCATCCTAGGCTGACTAATTTTCTGATTAATCAACAGAAAGTCACCTCAATATAGTTGGACTTGTTCTGAAAGGCTAGATACTAGCTTGGTATAAGCAATATAAATATTTTGCTATGTGGTTATATAGGAATTCACGTTTTTTTCTAACTTCCACTGTGTGTAAGTGAAGGTATTCAGTAATGCACAGTGTCCAGATCAGTTCCTCTCTGCAGGGTAAGCACACAGCCAGCTGAACAGTGACAGACGTTCCCTCCACGCTCCATGGGCAGGTGTTTTCTGGGACTGAAAAAGCTTATTTTGGGGTAGGTGAAAGAGGGCTAGCATGTGGGTGATGGAAACGCAGATGTGTAGAGCAGCTCTGAGAGGGCACGGCTGTGTCAGACTGCAACCTCCAGCCGTGGGTCACAACCTGGAAACTTCTTCCTTTTCAGCACTTGGGAGACAGAAAAGTATTTTTTCATTCTTCATGGAGCTGTTCTATATCCAAGTGCTTTTGTGGGAGAATTTGTGCGTGGAGGAACATTTTGCCCTAGCAACTGTACAAATTGGGTATAACTGATAAAAATATGGAAGAGGGTTATGGAGAGTGCTAATCAATTAAGGTATACATTTTGACCACTGCCTAGATGGGCATCTGATCCAGTACACCGTTTTTATTATAATTTGTTTTGTGTTAGAAATGTTACAGAATCAATGGCAAACAAATGACATATTTTGTTGTTGCAAAAACATAAGTTTAAGCAGAGTCCTTATCATAAATAGATGGTGTCAGATGAGAAGACTTGCTTTGTAATAAAACCCTGTAATTTGTAAGACTTTAGCTTAATGTCCACAGATACTCCCCAAGCATTGATAATTGCTGGAAGTTAATGCTTTGCTTTTGCGAACTACCCCGAAGTGTAGATCTGTCGTATTTTAAAGTTTTTATCTAAACTTCCTAACAAATAAAGCTGTTTCATTGCAGTGGAGTAATGACAGTAGTATTGAAAACCTCTTTTTCAGAGAAGGCTTTTAAACCTATCTTGCATAAATACTATGTTTTTAATGCTCTTAAAAGTAATGTGAAATTGTCCTCAACAAGAAACATATGCTTATAAATTCTGACGTACTCTGTGCGCTATCCTGAGTATAGGAAGCAGAGTCTGCAACATGGAGGATATTTAATTTAAAAAATTGGGATAAGGGTCGTGAATTGTATGCTAGAAATAGAAAATAAGATTAGAGGTTATGTTTCAGGCATGGAGCTGTCTCTGGGGGGAGAACAGAACAAGGTTACTTCAAGGTTTGGAGCCTGGTTGGGGGATGGGGAGAAGGGAGGAAATCCAACAGTGGCTAAAAATGGTGCCTGGGGGAGCTTTGTAGTGGTATATAAAGTCGAAATTACCAGGCATTGCCTTGATACTTACTGTTGTGTATTGTAGCCTTCTTACCATCGTGCTGGTGCCAGATTAGTCATGGGCAGTGCTTGGTACCAGTGGGGTGGTCCTGGCTGTCAGCATGCCCTGTGCACAAACAGTCCGGGTGGCGAAAGGTTGTTTTTTCTAAATCTAATACTTAGGAAATATGTCTGAAAGGGGTCTGGCCAGATCTGTAATAGATCCATCAGCTGATATTGAAACATTGCTTAAATGCATTTGGCATCTTTGCAGTGTCTTATGGCTGGCAGAGTTTTACTGTGTTGCAATTTCTGCAGCAGAAAGCCCTTTGTCAACCTAAGTTACTGGGAAGGACTGTCAGCATGGCTTAAATTGCCTAAACATCATTTAATGTTAGTCTAGTCTCTCATGTTGATAATAATTTTTAAGTCTAATTGACACATCAGAAGGTACCACTTAACATTTTAAATGCTTCCTTCCAGTCTTCATTTGTGAGGAAAATTCAGCTCTGTTATTGAATATTGAGATACACCATTGCATGTACTTAATTAGGTATGAGGTTAGGGTCTTCTATTGCTGCATGTGTGTGGTATCTTGGACTGTTGGTGCTTCAGAGGGGAACACGTGACTTTTCAGAAAGATCTAATAAGTTTAAGCTTAAATCTTCAGGTTTGCTTATGGATGTTTGATTTCTACTGAATAAATCAATCACATCGTGTTAATTTGTTTTATGGATTGAAACATGACATCTGTTTATCTTTCAAGATGTGTTATACCAGCATAAATATCCCATTGTATCCTGCTGGGTAAATTTCTTGCACAACTCAGTGCAGAAATTTTGGCACATAACCTGGTGACAAATCATGCCCGTGATTGAGGGCATAGTTGTTCATGTAAAACAATCAGTACTTCTGCTTTCAGGTCTGACTGTGCTTTCTGTGTTATAAATTATGATTGATAATTATTAAACGATAATTTTATTGGGAAATACATGGAGAGTTCTTTGGGGAATAATTTTTAACCCAAGAACAATGTGTTTTTCTAAAGGAAAAATCACATTGTATCAGTCAAATCACATCAGTATTTATCTGAACATCAGTTTGACTGTTGTATGCCTTTCCATGCTGTATACTTAATGTAGCAGCTTAAAGCTGGAAGCTAGAAAAGCTATGCATGCTGCTGAGATGTGCCGGTAGAATTTGATGTATGCATTTGTTAGCAAGTAGCTCTTGTGTGAAGTTATTTATATTCCTTGGTAGCATCTATACTACATATAAAAAATGAGATTTTCCAAATGTGTAAATTTATTTGTATTGAAAGAAATTAACCTTCATTATTAAGGGTGTTAGCTCTGTTTTTAAAGAAGCAGGAAAACAAGAGTGTTGAAATGTTACAATCTTTTGCTTTTCATAAAAGGAAAATAACTTCAATCAAGGTAGTCTTCCTAGGAAGAACATAGAAAATGCAAAAAAGCAGAAATTTCTTATGGCTTTGTCAGTGTAAGGAGTGGATGGTGAAGATTTAGGAGTGTTGTAGCATTCCTCAGCCTTCAGTCTGCAGCTTTTTGATTTTAAGTTGACCTGTGGCCTGTTTTGGCATTTATGTTGTGTGGATAAAAGTCAGCAAATTATTTTGTGGACTGAAATAGAAAGCAGGATTACTGAAGCAGCTAATAGAAGGCAGTAGATACTGGAGTCTCAAAGATGTAAGCGGTTGCCGTGTGGTGAAGGTGGGGTGATAGTTGTTGGAACACAGGGGCTTGCTGAAGAAGCGCAAGAGGAGAATCCTTTTGTCTCTGGTGCTTAACTTGTGTTTGAACCAGTTGTTAATGGCATTTGCAGAAGATGGAGCAACTCAGGGGAGGCTTAAGTTGTCTGCTGTGTAAAGGAGGCAGAACAAGTAGATAAGCGCTAAGTTTTGGGTATTCTTGAAGGGGGAAGGGTTACAGTTGGCAAGATTTGACTATAATTTTCACTTTTGATTTGTATTAGAGATTTATAAACTGTAAGGATGCTATATTTGATCTTATTATGTTGTGACCCCAACTATGCAGAATCAGTTAGTGCTATTTTAAAAATCTCATCTATATTTAATAAAGACTTATAAATTCTGTTCTTAATGAGGAGGAGAATGCTTTGCCCAAGACACACGAGCAGCTTTTTTGATTAGAAAAAATGAGGAAAGGTTATGAAGTATGCATGCTACACTTCTACTTCTTTTACTCGTTATGATCTCATATTACTTGTCATCAACGTTTCTTTGTCAACTACAGAAATTAGTTCTACATAATCTAATACATTAACAACCATAGGTTTGTTAGAAATTAAAGCATTTTGTCAATTCCAGAAGTCTGCTGTTACAAAGGTCTAGTTCAAGAATGATTTTTAGAATTAAGGTTAAAACTCTTCAACTACTAGTTTTTATGAAATTGCTATTTACAGTAGTATTGTATGATGGTTTTGGAGTATTATGTACGCACTAATGTTTGGTTTTGTTACAGGAGGGAGACTGTTATTCACACTGGATTGCTCTGGTTTATTCATATCCTGTGACAGTGAATCAGATACTGCTGTCTATATACAGACTGAATTGCCAGCCAACTCTGGGCCCAAATATGGTAAACATAATTATGTTCATTTGCTGTAAAAATACATTCTCCTTAGTTTAACATTTTCATGATTACAGTTTTCTGATAATTCCATAATTTTCAACACGAGGGATATGAAAGGCCTAATCATCATGTCCCTCTTTTCACTATAGAATATAGTTTGTTTTCCTGGGCAAAACTCCAGCTGTTCAGTGATGAATCTACTGCTACTCAAATACTGTAAGCCCATAAAATGTTTGGAAAGTCTGTTCTCAGAACGCAGGAGCCATGAATCTATGTATTAGCTAGACAACAAAAAAGCACATGGATGCAACTGTCATGAGACAGTAAGTGTATGTGCTGACGTCAGTTTTTCTGACGTGTACTCCTGTTTCTTATTTTTGGAAATGAAATTCATATAATTTCAAAGTACTTAATACTTTTCAAGTAGGAGACTTTCAGTGAATGAGTTGGGGGAGAAGGCGAACATTAAGACAGATAAAGCTTCCACTGTGTACTGAAGAAATTAATTATTAGTAAATATTGGATTAGGTTTTAATTTTGGTCACAAATAAATAGTATGGTAATGTACTTGTTAAATATGAAAAGGTGAACAGTTTGCATGTGGAAATATATGCTAATAGTAGCCTCTTCATTTATGAGTGGATTAGGATTGGTATATTTAATGCAACTAAGAAAACACATTTTTCTTTCTTTGGATGTAGTCTAGTATCAAGAGAATGTTGTATACGTATTCTGTGGCAAGTGCTGAGAATTCAGAAGAAGCATAGTAATTTGGGAAAAGAAAGATTGTTGGTGATGAGTTACTCCAAATGTTTTGAAAGCTTTCATCATCCTTGTTGCAAACAGGCAAAAAAAAAAAAAAAAAAAAAAAAAAAAAAGGAAGAAAAATCACATAAAGGCTTTACAGGATTTTCTGTACATAATGTGTTTTATGTTTCCAGTAGTCAACTTCCTTCTTGATAGAAGAGCTTTAAATGTGTAGATGATTGTAATTTTCACTGCTTTGAAATACTACTTTTGTCTAACACTACTAAAATAATTAAAATATGTACCAAAGCTACTCTGCGTTTGGGTTTTCTTTTTAAAGTTGCATAGCATCACAAACTCAATTAAAACAGTCTGGAAATTTGGTTTAGGGATGTTTATTTCAGTGGAAAAATTCAAATGTGTATATGCTAATAAGTGTAAGTACTGTGGCATTTATGAAATATAGTGTCTATGTTTGCAAGAGCAGCAAAATGGCTGGAAGCCTTGTCTAAAAGTTAACAGCTGATTTATTGATGAGGAAATGTTTCTGTTTCTAGAGCAGCTGTAAACAGTATGTCATTGTGATATACTGCTTTCAGTGATCACTAAGTTGGAGTGAATAAGAAGGTAAAAGTGGCCATGCTGATTCAGTCTTCAAAATTGATTCAGCTCAACTTTCTTTATCCCATGGAGGTTATAAATGGATACCTAGGGAAAGGCAAGAACAGGGTGAATTTGTGGGCTATACTCATTTAAAACTCTGTCGTCAATGATTTGCTGCATATAGGATTTCCTGAGCCTGTGGTTTGTCTATTTAGTCAGCAAAATGAGCCTCTCTGGAAGAAAGAGCGATAAGGAGACCAAAACTGCATGCTGAATTTGAAGTGTGGGTAAACCATGGATTTATTCAGTGGCATAATTATGTTTCTGGCGTTCCAAAGCTGCTGCTCGCTTTCAAATTCCTTTGCTAATAATTTGTAACACAATGTTTATTCTTCTGACTTAACTGTTCAGCATCAGGCTGACATTTTAGCAAAAACAGTCAGTTGTAACACTGAGATAATCTTCCTCAGTGGTGATGATCAGGCCAGAGCCCATCATTTTGTATTTGAGGCTAGGATTGTGTTTCCATGTATGAGTTGATAAATTTATCCATAATGAATCTAGTCTCTGTTAAGTTTTAATAAGTGAATACCATCCTAGAGTCTTTAGGCTTACTGTGTTTAGAAATGAAACTGTAATCAGGAGTGACAGAGTGAAGAACAACAGTCTTCATATAGGTGGCTTCCCCTGCAGCTTAAAAAGACTTGACGTTCATATGGGATGTGCTGGGTGGGTTTGCAGCAAAGGATTTGGGAACCTGTGGGTGGGTATTATCTCAAATGGCCATAGCTGGATCATGATGCATAAGCCTGACCAAGTAATATTCCTGTTGCACGTATGCTTTAATTTAATATTTCTCTAATTCAGCCTTTTTTTTCCTGCCTTCCCTTCACCAGGAAGTGACACCTGTGGCTGAAAAGGGCCATTTATAGGAATAAACGTTAACTTATTCTTGAGGCTTTTCTAGAAATTGTCAACTCTCCGTCCCTTCCTTGAAATCACGGCCTTCAGTTCTTTACGCTATTTTGAAGAAAAGTGTGTTTTTGCTAATGGCTGGGTGCAAGTGGCTGGCTTTCAGTGTGAGCAGCTGTCTCTTCCCAAGCAGTCCTGCAGGTAGTGGCCAGAATCAAAGAATTCTGTAGGTGATCTATTCTGGGAGGCAGAGCTGTGTTTTCTACAGAAAGTTGGTGCTGTTCGTCTCTTGCTGTGGTCCCACGAGTCTTTTCTTCATCTGAGCACGTTTTACAGTTCTCATGAGAGCAAAAGAGTGTGCTTGTTCAGTGCACCTTTTTGGGAGATGAGAGATGGCGTCTTGAGTCTCCTCTGGCTGACAGTCACATTGCATGGGAATTTCTCATGCTGTGTGCAAATGCTTTGTTAGGCTACTGTATCAAAAGAATGGACTTTATTTTCTTTTTCTCTTCTTCTGCATCCACAATTCTCTTTCAGAAGGGAACTGGTGCTGCTTTCAAAATAGGTAACGTAAGCACCTACTGCCAAGGGAGGATTGAAACAGTGATCCTGATCTGACACAGGCATCTATTTTTGACGTTCAGGGAGGCACCCAAGTCTGAAAGGTCTGGTTTAACACATTCCTTTCACCAGCTTTTCCTTTTGCTGTCTTACCTTATTGCTGAGACTTGAATTAATGCTATTTGGTGTGTTACATGTTTTACTTCAAACAAAATGTAAGAAGTCTCCTGAGGCACTGTAGGCTCTGCCTTGGAAAAATCCAGCTCAGTATACTGACAACTCTGAATCTGATTTGGAGATACCTACCTTCCATGTGTATTTTATAGGGAATGTAGTTTTACAGTTCAGGGTTATAGATGCTTTTCTGGAGGGTTAAGGATTGGAAGCGAGGTGGTATAGTGCTGAGCAGCCAGGACCCTTAGTCCTTACCTAGGTCCAGAAATTTGGTGGTGTTCAGCATTTTCCAGTTCTTTCTGTTCCCAACTGGTTTTCATGAGAGTCTTTGGTAATTTGTGCATTTGGGCAGGGCATGGGGGCATTTTTGTCTTTGCTTGTCATTTAGGGCATCTAGCATAGATGTGCCTCTAGGGGATTTTTCAGTATAAGTGCAGAAGGCACAAATTGGCACAAGTAAGTTACTACCTTTGTTTTAAGAAGGATCATTTTGAAGAGAAAAAAACTCTAAAGACACAATAAATTAGTTCAGAGACTGTCTATAAATACTAGGTAGATATTGCATCAATGAAATTGGCCTTTGAGTTAATAAAACCAAGTTGCTGGAGCCTTCTGCTCAGGCTTAACAAATCTCCATGCTTCTGTTTGTAATTGCTTCAATGGTAAATGAGATCAATTTTGTATTAATAAGTTGGTCTGTTTAGATTTATATACATTTAAATAGGATGCTCAAGTTGATGATTCTAGTTAAATTATACTAACTACATGTTTCCTGTAGAGGATGTTCTGTGAGCGATGGTCCCCAGCTGGTAGGAGGGAAGACACTGAATTGCTTTTATCACTGTGGCTATTGACACCCATCTAACCCTGGAGTAGCTAGGAGAGTGGGCCGGAGGCTCTGGTGAGCTGGGATGAGGAAGGGGGAGACCCTGGAAGGGGAGGAGGTTTCCAGCAGGAGCTTCATGGTTTCACTAAGGATTGGCTTGCATACTTTTTTCGTTTTGTTTTGTTTTTTTCCTCCCAACTGTTCTGGGCAAGCAGCCAAGAAGGAATCCCAATAAGCAATTCATGAGCTGACAAGAACTAAAATTATATTGGTATAACAGGCTATTTCTGTCTCTCTTCCCCGTTCTCCCCCTGTCCTCCTCTAATAGGAGATTTTTACAACTTGGATGACAAAAACCCCCAAAACCACCACCACCAAAAGCCCCTGGAAAACCACATACAGGAGGTGCCCAGATCTTCTAGTGGCTGCAGCCCTCCCTGTTAAAAAGGCTACCAGCCTCGAAGAGTGAAGTTGTTTGTTCTTTCTGGCTTTGTAGCCTAAATACAGGCACCTGGACAGGAGCAGTGGGGATTTGGTGATGTGTGTTGCCTGCTGGCAGGCTGAGCTGCCCGGACATGGGTCCTCTCCCTGTGGGTGCAGGGGCTCTTGCTGTGAGCCTGTGTCCTGACAGCTGCCCGTGGCCAGCCCAGGGAAACTGTGAGCCTCGTTTGCCCTGGTGGTGAAGATAATGGTCCTTGTCAACCCCTATAAAAGCTTTTGCGTGCTTTAAGTGTTTGTGATGTGTTGGTAAGAAATTACAGGTGCAAAATAACTTAGTTGATGTCAGAGATTAATGCATATTTTCTGCCAGTCAGCATTACTTGGAGATGGCTGTTCTTGTCGACTCTGAAGTTTTCAAGACATAGTTTCAGCTCTTGTATTATTCTGAAAAGTTTTATGTCCAGAGCAGTGTTTAAAAATGCAAACAAATTTTGAAAGCCCCCATGTGAATTCTATGCGTTTTCTCTTTACAGATGGATTGAATATATTATGCAGTCACCATTCTTAAGAAAAAATATTAATAGATGTATAGATGTAGTGTATTAATTGAGAGTGTTGAAGAGGTGGTTGAAGTCAGAATTTAATTTCTCAGGTTATGAGATTAGTTACTGAAATTCTAAAATTCTTCACATTGAATCTCTGGTATGTGGATTCCAATTTCTAGTATTTTTGAATGGATATG